CTCTCTACCAATTCTTTTCTCTTTCTCTTTTACCGTCTTCCCCGGCAGATTTGCAATGCCATCCATACCATTTTCCCCTGATAAACTCGAAGGTAATTTCTACACTACTTGGATCTTATACGTATAACTTAATGTTGTCTCTCTCTCTCTCTCTCTCTCTCTGTGTATATATTTATTTATGTCAGGTGTATATGTATATGGTTGTTTATTATGTAAAGAGTGATACTTGGATGGATATACTATTGATTTGTACGGGCGTTGACATGCAGGTTGGCAGTAATTGCTTGTGTTTGTTTCAAGGATTAGTTTGATTCTACGAGCGTATAGAAGATATCCAAATTTTTAGTGGGATAAATATGTGCTCTTCAAGTGTTAATGGCGAATCTGGAGAAATTATAAATGGTGATCAGCATTTGATCTCAAAGGATGATGAGAGAGTGAGAAGAAGATCAGGAGCAGAACCCAAATTCTTCCACAAGTTTCTTCTTTGCCTTCCCCTAGACAATCTTCTCCACAGACTGCCCCTCGCTGAGGCAAGTGTATATACATATACATATATATATATATGCTTGTATAGATGTACATTTCTTCTTGGCATATATTTCAACACCAGTGATTTGTGACTTCATTCTTAAAGGAGACAGTTTTTTAGTGTTGAATATATTTTGCAAAAAAAGTATAGTTGTTATAGAATTATAACCTTTGTTTTCTCAAGATAAGGAAAATAACCCTTGTTGTAAAAATGACAACACTTCAAACGAATTAAACAACACCAATTTCGGCACTCGTATATCGCCTCCATTAATGTGTTTATATAGATATAGTAATTTCCTTTTGCATTTTCTGTGTAGTATTTTGACTTACATTGACTACTCAAATATCGAAAATCATGGGATATAATATATTAGCTGGAGTATACGGCAGCATTACCAAAATAAGAATATATTACTATTCTTTTTAAAAATTGCAAAGGTTTCTTCATTCTTTTCATGAATTCCATTAACTTTAACACCCGAAAGTTGAGATGCTAAAATTGTGCTGTGTACCTTCTCAGAACAAGAAAATTAAAGTTGTACCTTACCCTATACCCAGTTCTAAAAAGCCCTTTTCGTGACTCACTTTTTGGCCACTTGCAATTTTATACTTACTTCCCAAAAAGTTAAAAGCTGATTATCATGTTTCAATTCTTCCCAGTTTCCATCTGGCCACGTGATATATATATATTCTTTAATTCATCTCATAATTTTGTCCATGCAGTCGCGGAAGAGTAGTGTCTCTTGGCAAGATCGCATGTCCCATTGTAATTACAAACCTCCTACTCTTCTCCAGATCAGTTATCTCCATGTTGTTTCTGGGTCATTTAGGTAACATAGAGTTAGCCGGTGGTTCATTGGCTCTCGGCTTTGTCAACATTACAGGCCTCTCAGTTGTCAAGGGTTTATCCATGGGGATGGACCCTATATGTGGTCAAGCTTATGGAGCCAAAAGATGGTCAGTTCTTACCCAAACTTACTTCAAAATGCTTTCTCTTCTCCTCCTCGTTTCTATACCTATTTCCTTTCTATGGCTCAACGTTGAACATATCTTTCTTCGTCTTGGCCAAGACCCTGATATCACCAAAGTTGCTAAAGTTTACTTGGTTTTCTCCATTCCTGAACTTATTGCTCAAGCAACCCTTCATCCCCTGAGAACTTTCCTCAGAACCCAAGGCTTGAGTTCCCCTCTAACCATTGCTGCCATTGCCGCTGTTCTCGTCCATCCTCTGGTTAACTATCTTTTTGTAGTGCAATTCAATTTAGGGGTTCGTGGTGTTGCTTTCTCTCTTGCTTGTAACACAATAAATCTAAACCTGGGTTTGATTCTTTACGTTGTTATTTCAAAAACTTCGTTGAAGCCCTGGCATGGGGTTACACTCGTTTCTATTTTCCAAGGTTGGAAGCCATTGTTGGGGTTAGCAGTTCCAAGTCTTTTTTCTGTGTGTTTGGAATGGTGGTGGTATGAGATCATGCTTTTTCTCTGTGGTCTTCTAGTTAACCCTAAAGCGAGCGTGGCAGCCATGGGTATCCTCATCCAAACCACGGGATTATTGTACGTGTTTCCTTACGCAATTAGTAGTAGCTTGTCTACACGTATTGGTCACGCGTTGGGTGCTGGTCAACCATCTCGTGCTCAATGGACAGCCATAACTGGTCTGGTTTTAGCATTCGTTTTCGGACTCACTGCCTCCGTTTTCATGGCTCTGTTCAGATCAATCTGGGGAAGATTATTTACGGAGGAGCCTCAGATTCTTGAACTAATCTCAGCTGCACTTCCAATCTTAGGACTTTGTGAACTGGGAAACTCTCCTCAAACAGCCGCCTGTGGAGTCTTGACAGGAACTGCACGTCCCAAAGACGGCGCACGCATTAACCTCTGTTCATTTTATCTTGTCGGATTGCCAGTTGCAATTCTCGCAGCTTTTCAATTTAATGTTGGGTTTCGAGGATTGTGGGTTGGTCTTCTGGCAGCACAGTTTACGTGTTTGTGCATGATGTTGTATACGTTGAAACAAACGGATTGGAAACACCAGGCTAAACGAGCTGAGGAGTTGACTCTGGCCGCCGGAGACATGTCCGATCTGGAGACTGGTTTACTTACCAGTCAACACTGACCCACTAATCAAGTTTTGATTTTGAAGAACTACGTGAGAGTTTCAGGAGTAGGCTATATTTTAATTAATGGGTAAATTATTATATTACTACTCTTAAAAGGTAAATTATTATATTACTACTCTTAAAAGGTAAATTATTATATTACTACTCTAAAGTTTGATAATGGTTAGAGTTTTGTATTTAATATTTTTTAAATACAATTTGATTTTTAATAATTTTTATTTTTGTTAAACATTCAATTTATATATATATATATATATATTTTAACAAAAATAAAATTAAAAATAGTTAATATCTTCAGATGCCTTGAAAAATAATTTTAAAAAATTAAATAACTAATTAAATTAATAAAAATATTAAGTCTACTTTTATTGTTACTAATTTATTGATTTAATTTATTTTTGACTTATTTTTAAAATGTAACTATTCTAAATTTTTTCGGCTAAAAAATAAAAAAAAAATATTTGGAATAAACATAAAACGTAGGTGATTAAATTGTAATAAAAAAAATATCAAAAACTAATTTATAATAAATTTTAAATTTTAAAAACTAATTTTAATAATTTACTCTAATTAATACATAAAATTTTAATTTGTAAGAAATGCTCGTGGTAGCAATTTGTTTCTGACTAATTAATAATTAATACATAAACGTAGGTGATTACTTGCACAATGTTCACTAGTTTCCTTTTCTTTCCACACAAGACTGAGGTTATATAATATTATACATGAACAAAATTATTTGAATATATATTCTTCCGTAACCATCTACTTTGCAAGAGAATATTAAACAAGCCATTACGTATATATCTACATATATATATATATATATATATATGGATGACAATACAGAGCACTAAAAATCACTACAGTAAAAAATTGTTCTGGAAGTCTGAAATTCCGAAACAGTCATCTCAACTTGATATCCGACTTTATGAATTAAAGAAAAATGATATTTGTCTCTTAGCAACTTGAAAAGCCAAAATCTACTTGCTAATGTGC